TTACTGTCACCGGAAAGATTCAACCGAAGATGAGAGAGAGAGCGGAAAAACAATCTCTCAAAACCTAATGACACGTGTGCGTCCAGGATCAGCGCAGAAAAAATGGACGGTGGAAGATGGGGGGATGGCGGAGTAATCGCGATGCGATGGGTGGGTGGCCGGCGGTGGCGGTGGCGGTGGCGGAGAGAGAGAGAGAGGGTGAAGAGAGAGAAAGGCGAGGGGAAATTTTAATGAGAGCTGTCTGGCAATTTTGTAGAGATCATTAATGGGAGGTGGGGAGGAGCATTTAATGAAAAATTGACGAGAGAGAGAAAACGCAATTTCCCAGAGACTCATATATTTTTATTTTTCTCTCTCCTAAACCAAATCTTTTTTCTTCTCTCTCTCTCTAACTTCTATCGATGAACCACTGCTGCTCGTATGAGGTTAAAATAATCAAAGATTCTTAAAATTTAATGCTCCCTTCCCTTATTTTCTCTTATATTTTGCCATTTGCTTCCTTCCAAACTCTGTTTAGGATTTTTCCTTTTCTTCTTTTGCTCATTTGTCTCTTTTGCAATTAGTTTGTTGAAATTATGGGCTCCCTAAATGAGTTTTTGTTTTTTCTTACAAACATTTATGGTAAATTTTCACTTTTTTTTTTTACAAGGTTAAAAGTTAAAACCATAAATTTTGAGAATGTTAAATTAGTTTTGTTAGCACATAGCTAATTGGATAGTGGAGTTAGGTTCTTTATTATGGTCCCCATTAAAGAGATTTTTAAAATTTAAGTTTAGGTAAATTTTTGTATCTGGATTAAAAATAGCCTGCAGTGAGAGAAACATGCCATAATCAAATAATTTAAGATTTTTTATAGCCAACATGAGTTTAATTTAGCTGTAATTAATATATCTCTGATCAATAAGTGATGAGTTAGAATCTTTCCATCTCACTTGTTGTGTTCAAAAAATAAAAATATAAGCTTTTCTATTGGGATTATTCAACCCGACCTAGATTGTGCCATTGAATGAATTAATAACGTCGATTAATAATTATTAAATATATAAAACAACGTAAGTGAATTATTAAGCTTAGAAACACGTCTCTCTTTTTTTATTATATAGTTTTTATAAATATTTTCAAATTTAAAAGTCAAGAAAAAAACTCCTTTAAAAAATCTATKGTAAATTTTCACATTTTTTACAAGGTTAAAAGTTTAAATCATAAATTTTGAAAATATTAAATTAGTTTTGTTAACACATGGCTAATTGGATAGTCAAAATTGGTTCTATTGTGCCCTCTAAAGAGTATTTTCTAAATTTAAGTTTTGGAAAAAAATTTGTATCTGGATTAAAAATAGCCTCTAGGTCACAATCAAATAATTTAAGTTTTCTATAGCAAAGCTCAACAATAATTGACATATATCACTAATAAGTTGTGATTTCGAATCTCTCCATATCACTTGTTCTACTAACAAAAATGACAATAAAAAAATAAATTTTCTATTGAAATTATCCAAGCTTAACAATAATTGACATATGTCACCAATAATTTGTGATTTCGAATCTCTCCATATCACTTGTTCTACTGACAAAAATGACAATAAAAAAATAAAATTTTCTATTGGAATTATCCAACCTGACTCCGATTATGCAAATCGAATGAATTAATAATATCGATTAATAATTATTAAATATATGATAAAGTAAGCCTAGCTAAACAATAATTGACATGTCAACCAACAAGTTGTAAATTCGATCTACCACCACCACATGTTGTACTAAAAAAATAATTAATAAATATATAAAACAATGCAAATAATATTTGCATTCCTATTTGACAATAAAAAAGATCTCATTTTCTAACCCTTTTTTTTTGTTAAGCTTACCTTCCTTTTGTTTTATTATATAGTTTTTATAGGCATCTTCAAATTTTAAGTCAAAATTTATAT